ATCTAAAATCCAAGTTTCATTAAGGTTCTCCACTGCCTAATACCCTAGTGGTTCTCCACGGTCCACTTTTTAGCTGCATACATAAGGTCCTTGATAATTTGGTCACCACTGACTCCTGAACTTCTTCTCTTACCACACCACCACCTAGAATCTCTATTCTAATCACACCCCCCAGACCTCATATTCTGAGATATACAACACTGCTCTGTGATTCTGCACATTGCTTATTCTAGTCCTACTCCCTAGGACAACCTTGTCTAATTTGTTCTCTGAGTCAGCCTCTTAAGATTCAGCTCAAATTCCTTCTCCAGGAAGCTTTTCCTAAACTCCTTGGTTGGTTTGATGTATACCATCTTTAAGACCTCCAGGACCTTCTATCACCTCTAACATCCTTTATTGAAATTTTTCATATCTATCTCTTCCCACTAAATATGAGTTTCTTGAAGGCAAGAACTGATCTTATTTATGGATATACCAATTATGTAGTGTGGTAATGGAACACACAGGAGGCTCTCAATAAACAATGACTATTACCCCAGCAAACTTGTACCCTAAGACCATTGTATGCTAATTACTCAATTATTTGTTAAATGAAAACATATCAGTATGTTCTTGCCATCTGCCCAGGGCCAAAGAACTGCTAAGATACCCTACCTATGCCTTCTATATTGTCAGGAAGTCCAAGAACTACTGCCATAGTAAAAGAACTTGCACTATATTTTCTTTCTTTCTTTTTTTTTTTTTTTTTGCTTATTGGCCTCTGCATCAGTTTTCCAGCACTATCACAATGAAGAACCACATAGCTTAGACAACAAAAGCTTGTTTTCTTACAGTTATGGAAGCTAGAAGTCTGTTGCCAGGGTCACTTTCTTCTGAGGTCTATCTCTTTGGCTTGCATTTGGCTGTCTTTATGTTCACATGGCATTCTCCCTCTATGTACCTCCATGTCCAAATTTCCTCTTCTTATAAATACACCAGTCATATTGCAGCAGGGGCCACTCTGATGACCTCATTTTAACTTAGTCACCTCACTAGAAATCCTATCTCCAAATATAATCACATTCTGAGGTACTGGAGACTAGGACTTCAGCATACAAATATTAGGGAGAAACAATTCAGTCCATAACGGCCTCCTAGACTGTGAGTGCCTCAAAAGGCAGGAGCTAGATGTTAAGTCTTCTTTCTTAGTATCTGCTATGCCTTCAGAGTACCTGGAACACAGCAGATTTTCAAATTATTTGTGGGATATATAAATGAAGGATCTTCCAGGAGTGCAATCCAAATCTATGGAGTGAAGCCCCTTCCAAGTTTGGTGGCCAGCATCAAGAAGAGTTTTAGCCCTTCCCTGAAAGAGAGCTTGATATTGCCATGGTCTCCAGATGGCCCAGTACCAAACAGCCATTTATATAGAACCCAACACTTAGTGGAATAATCAAATCCTTAAGACTGGACACCCAAAGCCAGTTGACAATATTCTCTTTTTCTCCAGACTCATTCTGATATGCTCAGACATCATCATAGGCTTAACATCATGCATGGCTAAAATCAAAGTCAAGAGAAAATGAACACTTCTCTATCTAAAAAACAAAGTGTAACAGCTTAAAGAAATGGTTTAAAGGCATGGACATCTGCCTTTTCCTACCCAAAAAGAAACTTCCTCCCCTTCACTGTTCATCTGTCAGTTAAGTAGCCTGCCTTCTCCACTATCAAGATAGACACATGATCTAATAAATTCCCCCTCCAAGGAATTTGGATCCTAATTGGAGTAACATAAAGATAGGAAACAACTGGAGGGAGTCAATTAAGCCATTACCATGAAGGGTTCCTGGTTCACACATCCCTGAAACAGGCTTGGTTCCTACCTTTCCAAGACTTGATTGAACTGTCTTTGTTTCTGAGACTGAAATGATAGTCTCTCCAAAAACTGACATTTCCTAACATTAGAAAGTGCTTATTGTGTAGCTCTCAAAGAATCTGGACACATATATGGACCCCAGAAGTTGGGTGTTGGTAGTGGTGAACATAAAATATGGAAATAGAGTGGGCAGCAAGGAGTCCCTCATCAACGGTTAAGAAGTTGTGCTCATCATATCTGCTGTGTGAGCACATAGCTGCCAACTACATTATTCCCTCCTAGATTTTGGGACACAGTCCACATGCTAAATTGCTGAGAAGTTGGTAGGAAAACATCAAGATACTGGAGTGTGTAGCGATTTCTGACAGCTTTTGGTAAAGCCCCAGAAATGACAGGTCATCTTGGCTGAAGCTATAAAATTCTGCCTTACCTAGACTGGCCCTTTCTCCTGGTAGGAATCCAAGACGACAGAGAGTCAGATAATCATGAAGAACTTTAAATCTGAAGCAATGCATCAATGAAAATGCTAGGAAAACACAGGCGGGAAGGAAACATAGCAAAAGATAAGATTGGGATGGAGAAAATGGGGCCAAGCCTGGTCCCCCAAGTACCTCCTGATGTATACTGCCTTCCTGGCAAAGAGCTAAGTGCTGGAAAAAGGTCACAGGATGAGGAACAAACGAATTGCCTTTATCCAAGGGGCAAAAAGAAAGGCACCAAAATTAAGGGCTCAAAGCTAGGCAGAGAAGCAAGTCCTATTCTAAAACACCCCAGGCTAGAGCCCAGAGGCAGAGATCAATCAACAAAGTGGAAAATGCATATAGACCAGCAGATATAATTTGGGTTAAATTGAGTGAAGCTGCCCTTGAAACCTTGGAAAACAAAACCTTGTTACTTTCCCAAATCAATCTTTAGGTACCTTAACCTTTATCACCAGAATGTGAGCTGCCAAAATAACGTAATCTCTTAAGGAAAAATCTATTCATTGTCCTTTTCAAATTTGTCCACGGAATTCACATGAAGCAAAGACCAGGTTCAGCCATTGCAGGCATGTAAGGCAGTGAAGTACACCAACTGTCTACACATGTGTCTCAAATATTGAAGGAAAATTCTAATCATGGAGCAGGAATAGCTAAATACAATGACGCCTGTAACATCCAAGACTATTATCAACCCAACATCCACCTTAAAATGTATCAGCAACTCTCTACAAAAAACACAGGGACCACAAAATTCATATGCAGACAAGGAAAATAGGAAGAGATTAACTCTGGAAAATAGATTATGCAGTAGAGATAAATATAGAAAGAAACTATATTACTTGAATTATTCTAAGAGAAAAACTTAGATTTACAAACAGCCTAAATCAAATAATATTTATCTCAAACTGCCTACATCCTATCATTCCATATGCTACGATGTCTGGGAAGCTGGTTACTAAACAAAGCCATTTCGAAAGGAGCTGCTAACATTACTTACAATAGCCAAGACATGGAAGCAACCTAAATGTCCATCAACAGAGGAATGGATAAAGAAGATGAGGTACATATATACAAAGAAATATTACCCAACCATTAAAAAGAATGAAATAATGTCATTTGCAGCAACACAGATGGACCTAGAAATTGTCACGCTGAGTGAAGTAAGTCAGACAGAGAGAAATATCATATGACATCCCTTATATGTGGAATCTAAAAAGAAATTATACAAATGAAGTTAGTTACAAAACAAAAACAGACTTATAGAACAAAGTTATAATTGACAGGGGAAAGGATGGAGGGGAGAAATAGGGAGTTTGGGATCGACATGTACACACTGCTATATTTAAACTGGATAGCCAACAAGGTCCTAGTGTCTAGCACAGGGAACTCTGCTCAATGTTACGTGGCAGCCCAGATGGGAGAAGAGTTTGGGGGAGAACAGATACATGTGTATGTATGGCTGAGTCCCTTTGCTGTCCACCTGAAACTATCATAACACTGTAAACTGGCTATACTCCAATACAAAACAAAAAGGTTTTTTTAAAGAAAAAAAGAAAAAAAAAAGGGGAGCTGCTAGATGGAAACCTGAGTTCTGGCCCACCTTCCTCTGTGGGAAGTGAGCTCAGATGCTATAATACACCATGTAGAATCACAGTATCTGCAGTAGTTTCTAGAATGGCCCCTCCGGGAGCAGCAAGGGCATAAGACATCCTTTTCTGACATCTTCTTGGAACTCTGTCTCCCACGAGCAATGCCACCTACACTGCATTTCTATTACATGGCACAGAATCACTTGGAAGCCAGAGAAATGTTTTCAATTTCATATGGCTAGGATCTGCCCCTTACTTGCTAAGGGTGCGGAAATACAACTGCCCAGACCTGTCGCGTTCTCACATCACTGTCATTAACTGCCCTGAGAAAGTAGCCATTGGAAACAAACTATAAGGAATCTTTATGTTGTGTGATTGACAAAAGAACACAAGGTAAGTGGAGTCACGGATGAGTAAGGGCAGGCCTAGGATGATTCTGCTGAAGATATTTTAACACTGATGAGCACTAGGCCATCATTTGGCTCATTAAAATAGTGCTGTGATTAAGGGTAGTGAGAGAGCGGCTGGCACATTTTCCTGTAGATGAGATGGCCCTGGAGGTTTGAACAACAGTTGGAACACAGCTGCCAGGGCTAAAACCAAGCGAGTACAGATGCCACACCAAAGCAGAAGCAGTTCCCTACCATTCCATGCTGCCAAGTTCAAAATGCCAGTGGAGGAAAAGTATTGAAGGAAGTCTTTAAAATAGACTAGATAGCTACTTTAAATACCAATTCTATGTGTAACTACAGTTTCTGCTGTTGAGGTCCTTGAATGGCAGTTACTACTGTTTAGAGAGCTCAGTCACACATTCCCCTGCTCAGCAAGATGAATCAATGCAGTGTGCTGTTCTTTGAGCTTGGGACAAATTCACAGTCACTAGACATTAGACTTTATAACTCCAAATGTCTTTTTAAGAAAATGTTCTTCTAAGCAATTTTTTTCTTTCATGTTTGCTTTCCTTATAAGTAGAGCTTGTCTATCATTTCCTATGTTCTTCACTGATATACAAAAGCACATGACACCATATCACAGTACTCATTTCCCTGAGAAAGATAAGCCAAAATGACTTACCGAAGGCCTTCTTAGGTTCTATTAATGTCAAGGTAAAGAGTTCCTCTTTTTTTAGTTCCTTTAACTTCTTAGCAACATCAAAGTGACGCCACCCAACGATATTTTCTCCATTGATGGCTTCAATGTGATCCCCCACACAGATTGTTTTAACTGAATCAATTATGCTACCGTCTTTAATTCTCTGAAAGAAAATTAAGGGTAATAATAAAAAATAGCAACATGTAACACTACTTTTCAAGCTCTTACAACATTATGTATAATATACTGACAAAAACCCATCCATGCAGTTTAACGTTCAGTTAAAGACAGAGAAGACCAAACAACAAAGACAAGCATCCTGCTCCCAAACATTCTTTTTTCTCATTCAGAATTCAGCTCCATCAGGTCACCATCTCCTCTCAGCAGCTTTTCCTGACAACTGCCAGCCCATTCCTCCAAGATTAGTCAAGGTGCCTAATCTCACGCCTCTGTAGTACTTTCTGCTACATGTCCTGAGCTCGAAGCTTAAGCACTTTATATTCATGATCTCATTTAACAACCTTTATGAGAGTCTCATGTCTTAAATCAGAAAGATCAAGCAACTTGCCAAGTTCAACAGACCACAGTGCAACTGTCCATTTTCTTGTCAGTCTCCACTTTCCCATGGACAGGGGAGCTTGAAGGGTTACAGTCCACAGGCAGGCAAAAGAGTTGGACACAGCTTAGCAACTAAACAACAACAAACTCCACTACTGAACTGTAATATCCTTGGGGATAGAGATGCTCTTATTCACCATTGCATGCCCCGTGCCTAGCACAATACCTACCAAAAATTGTTGTTGCATCATTTCAACATGAGACCCATTGTTATTGTTGTGCTCACTCACTGAAGCCCATTACATCAGAATAAAGCTTGAGCTTTTTCTATCGACTACATTCTATAAACCTTAGTTACAAAGGCAAGACAAGAATTAGTACAACCTTAACCAAGAAAATTGATATGTAGTAGATAGGTGGAGTCACCACTGGGGAGCCAATGAGAAGAATTTTCATCTATATATCACTTTTTATTTATATATTTCAGGCGAGGAGAACTTCGGACCCAAGTAGAAATGTCAAATTGGTATTTCCTAACTGTATCATAGGTACGTGCATGTATGCTAAGTCACTTCAGTCCTGTTGACTGTTTGTGACCCCATGGACTGTAGCCTACCAGGCTCCTCTGTCCATGGGATTCTCCAGGCAAGACTACTGGAGCGGGTTACCATGCCCTCCTATCACAGGTATGAAAACAACATATCAATAGTGCAGACTTTCAAAATGAGATGTAAGACTCCCCAAGATAATACTAAGAATTTCTGAAAGAATTTTAGGGACAAGAACTTCCAGAAAACTCTGCACAGGTAACAACCCGGCAGAAGATATACAAATTCTTCAACAGCATTGAAGAACATGGCAAAATGCAGGTCACAATCTGCCTTGGGCATCACAAACCCTTTTTGAGAATGACCTGATAGAATTATTAGGGGCTGCTGTTATTGTGTAACAGACGTGTGTGTATTCTGCATTTTTATCAGGTGGAATAACAACATCTTCTGAGTCAGTAGGGGATTGATCATTGTGTCCAAGAGTTAAGAGAAAAATTGATCCCATGTACCCTAGCATTTCCATAATATTGTCACAAGAAAAAAGAAGCTGCAGAAGACTAACCTAGGAAGGCTAGTCATTTTTAATTCTTAAACTTTATTACAATAGACCAAAATTTACAGTAGGTTTCTTTTTTATCATCCAATTTTAAGAACATGGCTATGTTCATTGTAATAACTATTAAAATGCTTTCTGAAAATGATACAATAATACCAATTCAATTGGAAATTATTATCATTACAAGTAATTATAAAGCAAAAAACCTAGAAATATCATAATCTAACTGACCATATTTTTTTTAAGTAAGTCCATATTCAACTTACAAGCTACAGAAATAAACAAAGGTAACCACAACACACGGTACCACTCAGTACAACTGGAGTTTCTAAACTGTCACAGAAACATAAGTGAAATCAAACAAAAGACTAGCGCTTAAGAAACAAAGAAAAAAATTAATATTTTGTCATCTAACCATTCTTAAGTCATTGGAGAATGTGAAAATCTATAACTCATTTTTAATTTTTATTCTAATTTATTTCTTGACATATTCTGAACTTATTTTTCCTTTGATGACTTACACTATACAAATTTCAGCTCCATATATTTTTCATTTTTAAGACTTGTTTTATTTACAAAATAAGCATTATATAAAACTAAATGAAAGACTTTAAAGACAACTATGAATCAAACCAGTAAATTAAAGGGTGGAGTAACAGAATATAGGGTAACCAGAGCCTGTGAGTAGCCACAGGTAGCCAGATCAGTGTCCAGAGAGTGGAAAGACAATTACCAGAAGTCAGTAGGCAGCAAGGTGAGAATCCAGGTGAGCAAGAGAAAAATCAAAGCATAGGTAATCATCAGAGCCAGCAGATAATAATCTGGGATGAAGAGAGAGGAAAATCAACATAAGAAATTTGGAGAAGGGCATCATAAGGTGAGTCATATGCAGAAGCAAAGTGGGAGACATTAATGATATACTGTGTGGGTTACCTGAACCCCAACTTCCTAAGTATAAAGAATAAGGTAGCAACTGAGATAAGCTTCTGTAATCTATTATACTTTAATAATCATACCATAACTTGATAGGGGTTAAAAATATTGCTAAAAGTGCTACTCAAGCATGAAGGACTTTGAAGAAAAAAGAGGTATTACTTCTATATTTATATTTACTGAGTCACTTAATATCATTTTAACACTTAGAACTTTCTGTCATCTGGCTTTAGAGTTTGATGCTACAAAATGTAAAGACAACTTTAAATATTTTTTAGAAGATTTACAATATTATTAAACTTATAAGTTCCCAAATATTTCAGATCATTATTATATTAACTTCTATCAATTCATCCCATATAATTACAAAACTATCTTCTCATCACATATCAGAACTCTAGAATGGCACTCTATCATCCTCAAAGTCTCAAGCATTCATTCAAGGTTGTTTGAGCTGATCTTGCCCTCATGGTCAGCAACTTTGAGTCTCTGCTACTGACCCTCCAAATACTGTCCTCAAACCTTGTTCATAAGAATAAACATTTAGATAAAAATTGTACATAGTTATTTGATTTAGTCCTAATAAGCCTGGGAGGGAATGTTTAATATTCCATTAGTGAATGAGGAACTCAAAGCACAACAATGACACTGTTTAATCAAAGTAGCATAGCTCATAAGCAAGAGAACTGGGTTTCAAACAGAGGTAGTATAATCATAAGACATCATGCTCTTTCCTCAAAACACTCCCAATCAACACAGATCTAACTAACTCAAGACCACATGGCTGGTTAAGAAAGAAAGAAAAGTCAGATGAAGAATCCAATGCCTTCTGACCTCAAGATTAGAGTTTGAGTTTGTAGTTATCCCAGATGACGTATCCTATCACCTTGACAGTCATTTTACAACATGTAAGTTGTAATCAAATCAAATCAAATCAGCACACTGTACACCTTAAATTCACATGGTGTTATACTTCAATAAAGCTAGAAAAAAAATGACCTATCACCATTGAACTCTGATTCTTTTTTTAACAACTCCCACCCTCCTACTTTACTTTTTCTTACCTCTACTAAGCTGTTCTTCATCTGTATCAAGGCCTCCAGATCTCAATGTTACCTCTTTTCTCAGATCACCACTTCTCACCACTTATACTCTCACTGTACATACCTCTTCTCAAAGATCCTAGCTCCCATCCCAGAACTCCCCACAGCTCTTAACCTTGTACATGTCCAACCTTACTAATTATTAGTTCTGGATGGTTAAACAATCAAAATGGTAGAAATATATGAATACTGTATTTCCCGGAGGATCTTGCTAAAATGTGATTTAGTTCTAGTAGAGTACCTCAAATCATGAAGATTGCTATATGAAGACATTCTGAAAATGACCATTCTGTGGTTATTTATAAGTTACTTTAATTCAAAGCCAATTAGATTTTCATGTCTTAATTGCACGGTAAAACCCTTATCTTTATTTTCAATCTAAAAGTATTTTCTACTCTTAATCTAGGGATCAGCAAACAACAGTTCACAGGTTGAGTCTGGTCTACAACTTGCTCTTATACAACCGATGAGTTACAAATGGTTTTACCTTTTTTAGTGGCCAGGAAAAAATAAGATAATATCTATGACATGTGAAAATTATACAAAATTTGAATTATAGTGTCCATAAATGAGGTTTTACTGGAAGACATCTATGTTTATTGTTTAATATTGTATATAACTTTTTGTGCTACAACATCAAGTTGAGTAGTTGCAACAAAAGACTGTAATGACCCTAAATTTTAAAGAAGCCTAAAATATTCACTATCTGACCCTTTATAGAAAATGTACCCCAACTCTAGTATTAAACTATTTTAGGAATTTGCAAAGCTAGTTGTAAATATACTCTGATTTTTCTGATTAAGTTATTTATACACTTTTTCCTGGAAAGTGTTAACACTTCGGTACAAAAGTTACAAAAATGTAAGTCTGCTGTCTCTCCACCTGAAGGGGCTCATCTATGAGAACCCTGCAGTACTATTTTTTTCAATTTGTTTTTAATTGGAGGACAATTGCTTTACAATGTTGTGTCAGTTTCTGCTGGACAACAACATCAATCAGCCATCAGTATACATAAACCCCTCCCTCTTAGACCTCCCTCCCACCCCTCTAGTGCGAGCACCATGTAGTACTATTAAACACATCTCTCTGCCATCAGTCTCATCCCCTAATTATGTGATGGTTTGCTGTTATTGCTATTATTAAGATAGCTATCAATTACAGGTACTCTCAAACATTGCAGATGTGTCATTAGTTTATACCCAAATAATCATATAAAGTAGGTGCTAATATTCTATCTGAAAGCATACAATGATATGTCTAAGGTGTCACCCAGCATGTAAATAAATGGTGGAAACAAGACTGAAAACAGACTTGATTCTAAAGCCCATGGTCCTGTGGGCCACACTGCACTGCCTTCTTAATCAGGGACACCTGCCTCCTTACCCTTGTCTGAATCCCCACCACACTGTCCTCTTACACCAACCTACTCTGACTTCCAACCACTGCTAAAAGCATATAAGTACTCATTTCAGCAGTACATACACTAAAATTGGAATCATACAGAGAAGATTAGAATAGCCCCTGAACAAGGATGACATGCAAACTCTTGGAACATTCCACTTTTTCTGCTTATCTTGGCAAATCACACTGGAAGAGTGAGCCAGAAATTAATGAAATTGATTACTTTAAGGAGTGGGGGAAATGAGTAACGGGAGTCAGGAAGAATACAACTTTTATTATAGTTTCAACTTTTGAAATCATTTTATGTATTCAGAAAATTAAATCAACATGAGAGGAAAAACTCAATTCAAAGAGAAGCAAATGGATTCAACAGTATTTCAAATGAATAAAAATTATGGGGTGAAGGGAGGAGGAGCAAGTGAGAACCTATTCCACATAACTTCTGAAGAGAATACTTTGATCATATACCTGCATTTAAAGACAAAAAGGACATACAAATCTTGAAATCTTTTTAATCTTTTGCCACACCACATGGCATGTGGGATCTTATTTTTCCAACCAAGGACTGAATTCATGCAGAGTCTTAACCACTGGACCACCAGGGAATTCCCTACAAATCTTGAACTCTTAATAGGTTTATTTTTCAGAGTACAAATAGATAGCAATTCTGAAACTATTCTGTGTATATTACAGAACTAAGGAAATAAGTAAATATTTCAATAATTTTGAAAGTAAATATTTTAGTTGGGAAGCCAAGGAAGAACACTGTGAGGCAGGATAGAACTGGAGGCATAATTATGAATTCATAATTTCTAAAATACATGTTTCTGAACCTCTTATATGGCACCTGAAAGGATCTAGAAACAGGGACACACTGGTAGCAACGAATGCGTGCAACCAGCATTCAGATCTTGATTTTGAAATACCAGTTCTCACTGGAAAAAAACAAAAAAAGAGTTCCTTGAAGACATGGCTGACTCTCAGTCTGCAGAAAGGAAGATAAAAGATGAGTTTAGAACATCTTGTACCAGAAAAGAAGGAACTGCTCAATAAAATTATAGGAGGCAGGTCAAAAGGATACAGGAGCTAGCTGGATGGGACTCCTGCAGACCAAACCTCAGGAAATTTGAGCATCAAAATAGATGATGGTAACGAACTCACTGAAGGAGAAATCATGTGTCCTATACACACTACTATACAAAAAATACATAACCACTAAGGACCTACTGTATCTGCAGGGAACTCTACTCAATACTCTAATAACCTACAAAGGGAAAGAATGTAAGAAAGAGTGGATAAATATGTATGTATAACTGATTCATTTTGCTGTATGGCAGAAACTAGAACAATGTTGTAAATCAACTGTACAGCAATAAAAATTAATTTTAAAAAATCATGTGTCCATTGCTAATAGGTGATTTTTTTAAATTAACAACCCACTTCAATATTCTTGCCTGAAAAATCCCATGGACAGAGGAGTTCCATCGTCACAAAGAGTCAGACATGACTGAGCAATTAAGCATTTACCATATTGCTAATAGATAATAAATAAGTGGCATGCTTTATTATAATTGAATGTAGAATGTTTTAAAGAAACATAGGAAATGATAGAATTATAAAAATCACCATTTTGCAAATGAGTCAGGCAAGAGTCATCAATAGATGTTAAATCTGTGGGGTACAAGTAAGAGAACAAGACATATACATAATCTCAAGGTATCTCCCCACAAATTATTACAAAGGAAAACATCACTTTGCAGTGAATAAGACTGGCAGACACTGCATGCACAAGGAACAGGAATTAACATCATGAATATTGAGACAAACCAATAAAATGCACCTTCTGATGTAATACACTGAGAACACAACATCACTTATTTAATTTTCATGCCAAAAATGCATAATAACCTCTTTCACAACATGAAGAGACATCAGGAAAGTCCAAGTTGAGGGACATCCTATAAAAGGCTGAGGAATTGTTCTAAATTAAAGACCACTAAAAAGACATGATAACTAAATAAAATACATGACCCTGGATTGGAATTATACCAGGAAAAATACATTGTTAGGACAACTGATAAAACTGCAATATGAATATTAGATTAGTTTGAGAGTATTGTATTGCTATTAGATTTTCTGAATTTTATAACTATACTGTAGGTATATTGAAGTGAATATCTTTGCTCTTAGAAACTACATTTTTAAATTAATAAGGAGATATTATATGTGCATTCTGCTTATTCCTATGGCTCAGGAAAATTTACATATGAGTGTGTTCATATATATATACATGAAAGAGAATGAAGCAAATATGGCAAATGGCAAAATTTTTTGAGTAAAGCATATCATATGAGTTCTTTGTATTATTACAACTTTCAAGTTTGAAATCATCCCCCCTTAACTTTTAAAAAACCACATCAACCTTTTACGCAGTATGATATTCATTTCTCTTCTAAGTTGAACTATAAGCCAGAGGTTTGGCTTAGACTCTGCTTTCTCTTTGACACCATGTTCTCTGTCTCCACGGGACTAGTGACTAGTACTCTGAGGCAGGCACATGTTTGAAGAGGCATTAAAAAAAATAGAAACACAGCTCTGGACATCAGAGGCTAAGAGCTAAAAAATCCATGCGTGTTTGCAAAACTTCCAAGCCCTTCCCTGCTGACATCAGAAAGGCATTGCTCCATGTGCCTCATGTCCTGAGCTTCCCCCAGATAATCCGACATGACTTTCCCAACTCACGGATTTTCCATTTGGTCACCCACTCAACCTTCAGCAGAGTCATATCTTTTGCAGAGCTAAAAATAGCCATTCTATCAAGTGGGAAGTTAAATAAAGCACTATTTACAGTTAAGAGGATAATTTCCCAAAGGCTATTTTTTTTTCAACGATGACGATGCATTAGCATATCAAGGTTTGGACAAAATAAAAGTATGAAGAAACTTCATCACTAATTCTTTGCTCAGCCAGCTCTAGAATCAGATAGCTTGGATTCAAATCCTGAATTTGTCTAGCTGCATAACTTTGGGCAAGCTGCTTAACCATCCCAAACCTGATTCTATGTCTATAAAATAATAAGCTGATAATAGCGCCTACCCAGAGATGAACCTCACAGACATGTTGAGCAAAAACCAGAACAGTAAAGTAATATGTGATTTCACTTATATGAAGTTCAGGAATAAGCAAAACTATGGTGACAGAGGTCAAACTAACGGCTACCTTTGTTGAGGAAGGGTATTGAGAGAGAGGAGAACAAGGGAGCCTTCTAGGAGTAGAAATGAAATTTCCCTTGCTGTGGGCGGTGTTTACACAGATCTGTGAACATTCATTAAAGGTTTGTATCTGTTACACCTCAACAAAAAAGTAATCAAGAGACTTCCCTGGTGGTCAGGGGCTGACTCCACGCTCCCAATGCAGGGGCCCCAGGTTTGATCTCTGTCAAGGAACTAGATCCCACATGCTGTGACTAATAACCAGAGCAGCTAAATATCTTTTAAGTAATTAAAAAGGAAACATGGTCTCGAATAGAACTGTTGTAAGCATTAAATGAGAAAATGTATGCAACATGCCTGAGAAGCATTCAATAACAGTCAGTGTTACAACTACTCATTACAGGGAATCCCCTGGCAGTCCAGTGGTTAGGACTCAGAGCTTTCACTAGAGGGACTCACAATTTTGGGGAATTAAGATCTCACAAGCCCTGTGTCCCCCCACCCCAGCAAAAAAAAACTACTTATTATAATAATAGAACTGTTATTTAAGAGATGAATCTTTTTACCTCTCTTCAGTTCTTAACAGTTTTTCATACCATTTCAAACTTCCTTTTCTTGCCTTTGCAGTTCTATATTGCTCTTTGTATTTAGATAAAGTAATTATAGCTGACCCTTGAACAATGCAGGAGCTAGGGGTGCTGACCCTTTGTTCAGTGGAAAGTTCCTGTACAAAATCCCACCATGTCAGCAGTTCCCCGTATTCATAGTTCCACATCCACAGATTTAACCAACCTCTGTTGGTTAATAGTTATAGTATAACATTTCCTACTGAACAAAATCTGCATATAGATGGACCCACACAGTTCAAACATGTTGTTCAAGAATCAACTATATATAGTTAAGAAATTTTTAAAGAGCCTTGTTTTAAAGAAATAGGTGGCCAAATAAATATGCACTTGGAAATAACACTAAGTCAACGGAAATCAACATGGAAGTGACCAGATGATGAGCTTACAGATGTACAAGAGCCCTTATGGATGAGTAGGCACCAGGGCCAGGCTTTCCTCTTGAGTAAATGCAAACTCCTAGAGGAAGTTTAAGCCGAAGGGGAAAAAACTCAAGGAAAGGGTAAACAAAAGAATGGTGTCTTTGAAACAGTTTTTAAAGGAAACATTACCACTCCATCCATTCCTACTGAATTAGTGCTCACTCAATAGATCATTTCAAACTTTCTTTGACCTGGTAACTTTTCTTTATTTTTTTCTTTTTTTTTTTTTTTGGTTGGAGCATTTATTCCATTTATGTTTTTTTTTTTCCATTTATTTTTATTAGTTGGAGGCTAATTACTTTACATCATTACAGTAGTTTTTGTCATACATTGAAATGGATTAGCCATGGATTTACATGTATTCCCCATCCCGGTCCCCCCTCCTGGTAACTTTTCTTAAGTGTTACCCTTAGTTAAGTCACACAGTCATTTTTGTTTTGTTTTGTTTAAATACTTACCTTTATAAAAGCATAGCCAGCACCATTATCTGTAATAGTGAGACCAAGTGAATCCTCAGATTTATACACATTCACTTCTTTTTTGATCCCTTTTATGTGGGCAAATATGAAATCTTCGAGACCTATTTGTGCTCCTAAGAGTTTTCCCATGTCAACTTTAGGTGTGTTTAAAGTGCAATATAAGATCTGCAAAGAGAAAGAAATATTTTAAGTCAGTTTCCATCAGGAAAACATTCTGATCATTATTCAATAAATATTTCAATTTACAATGTCAGTGAAATAGTCTTCAATTTACGATGCCAGCAGTTATATCATTAACATTAGGTAATATGAATTGCATGTTTCCTGCAGGCCAGGCTCTGTGTTGAGCAATTTATATCCATTATTATATTTAATCTTCACAACAGCTTTCTAAATACATTATCATCTTCTTATTACCAATAAGGAAATTGAGCCTTGGTGAGAGTAAGTTATTTGCCTAAGGTCACAAAGATAGTACTTGTCAGAGCCAGGATTCAAGCTCAGTTCTCACCAACTTCAAAGAGGTTTACATTGCTTTGTTACCTGTTATTTACAAAGCTGACATCAAAGGCTGTGTTCCCAAAGGTCATGATACGTATAACCCAATAAAAGTAGAGGCAACACTATTTTGGAAAACACATAAGTTTTCTTTAAAATAAGGAAAATTTTATTTATCTTGCATTTTTGTGCTTGAGAAAAGTAAATGGTGAATGTAGTCTTTTTTTTCTAATTGTTTAAAACGTGTCTAAATGGACCTGGAAGACTAGTCCAATCCCTTGGCTCTAAAAATGGAGGAACTGAGGGCTGGAAAGACTAATGGAACTTAGTCAGATACACAGGATGGTAGAAGCTGTGTGGAGGTTGTAAAGGGACTTCTTACATTTACCAAGTCTTTGTTTGACCTCATTTTCCTTCAAAAATACAATTTATTTTGCTAAAATCTGCACTGCTACTCAAGCTTGCCAACCATAATTTCAGTAATTTGTGGGGCCCAACTACAAAATGGAAGAGGAGAAGGAGGGTTAAGAATAGGCCACTGGGGACTTGCCTAGTGGTCCAGTGGCTAAGACTTTGATCCCAATCAAGGGGTCACAGGTTCGATTCCTGGTCAGGGAACTAAAGCCCATATGCTACAACTGAGAGTTTGAACACCACAACTAAAGATCCCTCACGCTGTAACAAAGGTCAAAGATCCTGTGTGAGGCAACTAAGACTTGGTGCAGCCAAATAAATAAATACAAATTTTTTAAAAATTAAAAAAAACATGCCATTGGTTTAAAGTTCAATAAATATTTACTGAGTACCTTCTGTGCACCAAAGATATTTTAATGCAGCTTTTTGATACCAAAATGACTAAGTGAAAAATTGTACCTTTTGTTATCAAGTAACATTTGCCACAGATATTGCCATTCCTGAGCCTTGCCTCAGCTCTCAACTTCCAACCCGCTCCCTACCTCTCCAAGTTTCACACCATTCCTGATTTCCCCGCTTGAGCTTTAAACCATAAACACCCATAAACCCCTGGGAGCTCAAAAACTGTGCAATCACTACTTGTTAAATGGATTTTAAGCCCTATTAAAATACGTCTGAATTGGAACAGCTCTCCCTGCTCTACAGCGAAAGGTCCAGCATGTTCATCAAAGGCCTGATCGAATACCAGAGGTACATGAAAGGAGCTAGTGATGAGGACAAGGAAGAGGCCGCAGGGTACGAAGGATCAGTGCCTGCAAGCAAGAACTGCTGCCCCTGCCCTTTCCTCTTCTCACCCAGGTCTTTGGTGAGCTGTGCTAATAACTGCTGGGCCTTTAACACAACATAATACATTTGGCTTTGTAGTTACTCTTTGCAAATAGTTGCAGGTGTGAAATTTTTATTATTCAAGGTGGGGAGTGATGAGAAGTCATTTAGGCCAATAATGGCCCCTGTTTCTTACTCCAATTGTAAACTCAGGGGTATCAATTAGTCCACTAACAAAAATAATTCTTAATGGATAAAGGGGAGAAGTAGTAATGCATAGAAAACAGCTTTTCTCACTTCCTTTCTCAAAATGATGGAAAGTGAGTAGAAAAGCTTTCTCCTTGTTCTTTTTCCAGTGAATCGGTAAATGGTGTTCATAGCAGATCCAACCACCACTAATACAGCACCTTACTGAGCAGACAGGAAATAAAACATTAAAACATAATGATGATAAAATAGGGTAGGGGAAAAAAAAAACCCAAAAGGAAATCCCACACAAAGTAAACGTCTAGTTGCTAAGCTGCGTCCTTTCTTTCAATCTTTTCACATACTTCACTGCAGAGCAAATACTAGATTTCCTGTTAGGTATAACCCTTCCCCATGAGGCTTCCTCCAAGACAGAATTATGTTCCACTCTGGGCAGCCAGCAGTTGGCAGCCAAGGCATCAGGGTTTCTTTCCTGGAAGGAGTAAAGCCATGGAATGGAGTTCCACAGAAGGTTGTGTTGAAAATCAGCAGAAATGTCATAGTCCCTGGGAGGCGGAGTCCCTGTAGCAGCAGGAAACTGAAGCTCTGTGGCTTTAGGAAAGATAAAATCCTATCAGTCACACAACTCAACGCACAACTATCAGTGAATACATCTATATGTCATAAAGGTCTAGAGATTCAAATACTCCTCGTAGATACTGTATTTTGAACTGAAAAGTTAAAAAGTGGTATATAACTCTCTAAATGCCGGAAAGTTCGTGTTCATTCATCTACTCACAATCCTCTATTGGACAGGTGCTTTTTGCCAAGTTCCGTGGTGCATACTAGATGTACAAAGATGACTGGGACCAGTCCTCATACACAAGAAGCTCCCAGGCTAGGCAATGACCCACTGACATACAGTGGGGCAACATAATCCAGTTGTAATATATTAAGAGTCGTGGATATTTGAGACAAAAAAAAGGAATCTCATGACATATTGTGAACTTTCCTATCTCCATCCAGACATTTCCTTCAATCCAAAATCTAAAAAGCCTGCCACCCATACACCCACTCTATCCCCATGCTCTTGTCTATTGAGACTCTGCAGGGATGTGACTGCCTGGGTGGGATCACTCTACTTCTCTCACATCGTTTAAATCTAGCACCTCATTTGAGTGTCTGAGTCACCTTCCCTTCAAGTTCAATTGGTATAACATGTATTTGTCACCCTGACTCAGAGAGATGAAAACTTAGTCATCTTTCTCTCTCCCATGAAGGTTAACACAGTGCCCAGCTCAGTTTATATCCAAATGGCATTTTCTGCACATTCACTTACTTCAATTAATAAAACCAATCTGGTACTAAATTTTATTAAACTCATTTTGTGGATGAGAAAATTATGACTTTATCCAATTAGCACTATAATGTTTGATGTCAAAAGAAAGGAAAAAAAATACAAGAAAAGAAACACTGAAACAGTTATATCATCAATACTCCTCTAAGAAATACTCGCTTCTACAGATATACTAGAAAAAGTCAGGACAACATGGTACTTAACATCATTTTTTATACGCTATGGTGAACAAATTAAATCAAAAGAAAGTAAACTCAGAGTAAGGTACTATATAAGGAAAATTATCCAACCATTAGATACCTTTCTGATGATTTTTATTGTAAAATGAAATGCTTAACATCTTTTGGGGTATCTATATTTGGTGCTTTACCAACACCATTGCCAATTTTAATAAGCTTGATGGAGTATTTATGACTACTCCACTTTCTAAAGCAGTACTACCCAATAGAAATGTAACACAAGCACCATAATTTTAAATTTTCTAAAAAAATCACATCAACAAAAGATATAGGCGAAACTAATCTAATTTCCTCATATAACCCCATATATCCAAAATATCATTTTAACATCTAATCATTTATTTTAAAAATGAAATTGAGAATTTACATTTTTAATAAGTTTTTAAGATCTGATGTATGTTTACCCTTTTGTGTCTCTTTGTGACCCCATAGACTAGGGCTCAGCAGGCTCCTCTGTCCATAGAATTCTCCAGGCAAGAATATTAGAATGGATTGCCATTTCCTTCTCCAGGGGATCTTCCTGACCCAAGGATCAAACCCAGGTCTCCTGCATGACAATCAGATTCTTTACCATCTGAACCACCAGGAGAAACCCCTAATTTGGACTGGCCACATTTAAAGTGCTCAATATCTATACTTCGCTAGCAGCTACCATTGGGCAGCTCTGTTCCAGAATCCCATGTCTTTAACAATTTTTTTTTGTCTTTAATAATTTTATACTTTGCATTTTTCCTATCTCCATCTATCTATGCATGTTGTTCCCTTGGCCAAAAATGCCATGACTAATACTCGATTTCTAAATCTAGTCTATATCTATCAAAATTTTCCCCATCCAATAAAGTCCAGCTAAATAGCATTTTCTAACAACACCCTAAGCTAATGCTATTACTTCATCTTCTATATACCCATCAAATTTTATACATTTCTTGTGGAACTTAACCATGTGTTGCTTTGTAAATTTCTGGCAGGTAGGAATTCATCTTATTGTCATATTTGTCTTACTGGATGCCTGTCACTGTGATTTATAGGAGAGACAGCTGAAGGCAAGGAGAAAGCCACGGCCCTTTGGGGCCAGATGGAGAGCCTTAAATTGTTATTGTGCTGGACATCAATATCTACAGTACCCGTTCCCCTGCCCCCTCAAGTTTCATTCCCCGTTTTTGCCATATGGCAACTTGGGGACGAGTGACCCCACCCTCAGTTCCATCAGAAATGAATCATGATTAGGTTTAAATCAGTTAATGACTAATTCATAACCCAACTTAGGCCAGTAAGATACAAAGAGGGACTCTCCTGGTGGTCCAGTAGCTAAGACTCTGCGCTCCCCATGCAGGCTGCCAGAGTTTGATCCCTGGTCACAGAACTAGATCTCACATGCTGCAACTAAAAATAGAAGATCCCATATGTCAAAAGACTCAAGGCAGCCAAGCAAATAAAATTATTTTAAAGAGATACAAGAAGGGATTTGTTAAGGTTTCTGGGGAAGGAATCTTCTTTTCCACAGAAGCTCCTAGAAAGGTATCTCTCCCACTCTGATGTGACTAACTGCAGCTGTCACTTCGACATTAGAAGACGGACTCTGGGGACAAAGCTGACACATGCAGAAGGGTAGAGCCTCTGGATCCCGTCTCACCTAAAGACATTCA